CCCTCACTGTGGTGCACGGCTCTTCCTGGAACGTGAGGGAGATGTGGGGTTCAGATGTGTGATTTGGGGTTCATAGCATCTGCTGGGGCCAAACAAACACTTCTATCCCCTTCTTTCCAGTTAATCCTGTTTATAAAGTAACCTTGAACGTAGCCTTGCTTTAATCATGTAGAGAACAAGTGTCTTTCTCAACGTTAATTCTAACATAACACGTTTCATTAAACTTAACTCTCAGATGATAAGGTTTTATTTTTGAAGATAAATCAGCACAGAAGCTTTGAAAGCCTCTGTCAGTTCCTAGATGTGTCAGTTTAAATAAGAGAGATCAGTTTTAACAAAATGATAGCTTGCCTCTGCCTCTGGTAGTTGCAGAAGTTGGGAATTTATGTCCATTCTCTGGTAAATGCCATTAGTCACCCAAAATAGCGTTAACATTTTCCTTTGTGTTTTCCAGTGAAAGGCAAAGAACAAGAAAAGACCACAGATGTGAAAGCAATTAAAAGTAAGATCAATACTTTTGTCTATAAATTCAAACATCTAATATCACCTGCCATTTTTATGTTAGCCAGTGGGATGATTTCCTTAAGACTGAGCACAGGTGTGACCTATGTGTTAAAACCAAAACAAACCCCTAAACTTCATTCTGTTTCTGAGTATTTATAGTAACTAATCTTTCTTAGCTGTCTTGCTGTAAGTACAGAAGGTTATTAAATTATGTCAGACATGAGCTTTAATTCAAAGTGATTGTGCAATTCAGTCACCTTGCACAGAGTGACTATTCCTTATCTACAGCATTTGCTTCTGGAGTGTCTTGCTGACACGTGGTGTACTGTGCAGTTTTGAAAATGCAGCTTAACTGTGTCTAATTTTCAAAGGAGGCTGCCAGCATCTGGTTTAACTTTGACTGGTGTGGCTCATGAGACTGAAGATCTGAATCCTGGTCAGGATGAATCGCTGCTCTGGTGCTGCCCCATGTGAGACAGAAATCTTGCTGCTAAATCTGTTAGGAGAGGCAAAAAAAAAATCTTGATGGGAAGGATGTGTATAAACCATGGGAGAACAAGGTTATTTATCCTGTCTGTTTTTACTGCAGTGCTAAAAGGAGATCAGGAAATTTGTGTGAATCTGATCTGTTACTTTTTTATCCTCGGGCAGAATCTTGTTTCTGTATTTGTTAATGTGTTATCTGGATATCAAGAAACAATTAATTAATTTTCTCTTTGGTGGTCTTGTCTTTCAAATCAAATCTAGGAAAGAGGAAGCTGCATCCATCTAATAGCACACTCCATGATTTGGGTGCCACTATAATTTCCAATGCTTAGCTGAAAGAGCTTACTAGGAAAAGGCTACAGTGTGGTGACCCTGTAAATAAATATAACATTGAAAATGTCCTGTATTCACACCCTGCCAGCTGCTGCAAACAGGATGTCTTTCCAGTCTGGCCAGCAGCTGCTCCACAGTCTGTATGATGTTAAGCTAGCAGTGCAGTGCTGTTGGGCTGGGGGTTTGGAACAGGTGCTTGATCCTGAGATAAAGTAGAACAATTTTTCTTCAAATGTTCATAATATAAAATGAAATAAGAATCTAATTCACAAATCCTAAACTGTTTTGAGGAGCGTGGCTCTGGGTCTACACGAGTAGCCTCCACCAGGTTTTCCCCACTTACTGCCACCAGCCAACTGGCTGCCATCCACTGGCCTCAGGAAAAAATGTGTGTTTGTGTTTTCTCCATTATTGTTGGTTTTAAAATGCCAAAGGCTTTGTGAGAGGCAGCAAGTGCTCTCTTGGTACTGGACGCTGCAGCTGGAGAACCACTTGGTAAAATGTTTAAGTTCTTGCCTCTCCTGTGCCCTTACTCCTGAAGTGTCTGTTACCGTGACGTGCAAGTGTGAAATTGTCAACTGGGGTCATCACGTGTGATAAATTTGTGAATAAAAATAAAGCCATGCAGCATGAAAGTCATCCAAGCCAAGCTGCTTGGCACCTGGGTGAGACAGTTGTTAGGAGGCAGTGTGCTGAGATAATGTGTCATCTGACTCACTTTATTTCTGAGGTGTAAGATGTCCTTGCATGACACCCTAATCAAACCCTATTTCCTGAGAGCTTTTGAAACTGCTGGGAGCATGTTTTGGTTTTTTCAGCTTTGTCATCAGTTAACAATAAGCTGATGCTTTTTCATTGGCAGAGTTTTGTGTGAGGAAGTTCTTCTTTGTTCTCTTTGGGCTCAGATAGCCAGCTGTGTTCTAAAACATCTACAGGAGGTTAAGGCTTAACCTGGGTTTCATCAGAGATATTTCCTTATTGCTTTTTTCTCTTAAATCCAAATAGAGGCAGAGAAAATACTTTTGAAAAATCATGTTAAGACTCACAGCTTTGTAGTTCAGAATGTAGTAGCACATTTTAGCCTTCAGAAGGTATGGAAATGGATTGGCAAGAGCATAGCAACTAAACTAAGTTGTTGACAAAGTATTACTGTTACAATAGCAGTTCTCAAGGAATCAGGAAGCCTCATGGAAATATGGAATAAAATTTCACTTGTAAACTTAGACTTGGTGTCCTTTGGTTAGCAAATGAAAATATAGATGGGTGGGTACCACTGCTCTGTTGGAAGTGAGTTTATTCTTGCTGTAATAAAACTTCCTTATTTCTTTGGTCCTTTCTCTTCTCAGACCCTTGATCAAAGATGACACACAGCAGTCCAATAAGGTTTTTAATAAGATTGACTCTTGCAAACTGTCTGGTGCATCTTAAGGTGCTTAGTGTTGGCTGCTGCTGAGAGAAGGTCTTGGGATCCTTGTCTTTTAATCATTCCTGTCTTGATTCCAGCTCCAGTACCAGTACATTCCCCTCAAAGAAGCACTAGAAATCATGCCTTGCTGGAGGCTGCAGGACCAAGCCATGTGGCAATCAATGCCATCTCTGCCAACATGGACTCTTTTTCTAGCAGTCGGACAGCTGCCCTTAAGAAGCAGCCAAGTCACATGGAAGCTGCTCATTTTGGAGACTTAGGTAAGGCTTCATCAGCTTTGTAGTAATCTCAGTACTTATTCTATGTATATTACTGATATGCTCACCATCCTTTGGTTTTCAGGCATGTAGATAGGTAATTAAAAAGTCTAACTGCTGTTACAATGGCATCTGTGTTACCCTAGAAGGGTTTTGCAAGGGGACAGAACATTTGTTAGTGAAAAGAGATTCCTTTACTTTGTGTACCACTGCTATGTTGGAGTTCTCTCCTCATCAGTTGCCTTGGAAGATGTTTTTGTGTTGAATACCTGTGTCTGTAGTACAATATGGAGTCATTCCCTTTATATTTTTCTTTAGGCAGATCGTGTCTGAATTACCAGGCTCAAGAGACCAAATCAAGCCTTTCAAAGACCCTCGAACAAGTCCTGCAGGACAGCGTAGCCCTCCCTTATTTCATCCAGTTCATGGAACTACGCAGGATGGAACACTTGGTTAAGTTTTGGCTGGAGGCTGAAAGCTTCCACTCCACGACCTGGTCCCGTATAAGAGCACACAGCCTGAACACAGTCAAGCAGAGTTCCCTGGCAGAGCCTGTGTCTCCCTCAAAGCAGCAGGAGGTGGCCTCCTCTCCCCCCGCCGGGCTGCTCGAGGAGAGACTGGAGGGCTCTGGCACAGCCTGTCTGCTCAGGGCCCAGGGGGGGGCCTCAGACCAGGATGGGACTGCCCACAGCCAGAACCACGTGTCCTTGGGCCAGCACAGCCACAGCACCAGTGTCCTCTCTCTGAGAAAGTCTGAGCCAGAGACCCCTTCCCTTCCAGCGGATCAGCAAGAATCTTCCAAGCTTACAGTATCAAACAGAAACAGCCCTTCCTCTGCACTAAAAGACTTGTCAGGAAAACTCATGAAAAGTAAGTGCCAGGAGTGTTCCCTTCCTTGAAAAGGTGGGGAGCTGAGCAGCTGCTCCTGGGGCTCCTGGGAAATCCTGTGTGATGGGGTGAGGAGGAAAATCTTGTGTCTCAGTGATGTTAACCTGCTGTCCAAGCAGTGGTCAGTGTGGGCTGTGTGTTGTTACACTGTCTGGTTGTGTAAAAATAAATGTGCTGCTGAAGAGACTTCAAAATCATTATGCACTCTAATAAGCTTAGGTCACTTCTGTTCTTAAGTGTTCTTAAGAAATTAAGGTGAACATTGCAGTGTCCTGTTCTTCCCTCACTCATCCCAACTTAAAAGAGTTGCAGAAGATTTGGGTGATGAGAGTTGATAATTAACTTTCCACAGAAGATAAATGTCCTGTATCATATAAAATGACATAAGTAACACTTACAAAGGACTTGTAGAGATTTTTGTGTGAAAGGTACTGGTTTTGTTCTTGGATGTATTTGATAGAATTCCTCCCCTCATAACTGATTTGTTCTTATATGGATTCCATCTCTTCAGAGGCTACTGAAGTAAACATAATTAAAATATTTACCTTTGGTAGTAAGCTGCGTGCACAGTAACCTGTTTCTCTGCTTTGCATCTGCTCAGTCCTCCCTCATTTGTGCAAGTCTGGAGACAAAAAGGAAATGCTCCTTTCTTCATATTGGTTCCTTTTGTTTGCCCAAGAGTTTCCTTGTGTCACATCCCTTTCTCTTGCTGTTTGCCTTTATCACATCTCCACAATACAACCTCAGCCCCAAAGCAGCTTAAACAAACATCATGGAAAGCACCTCTGCTTTCTGGCTTCTGGAAAGAATGTGAAAGTATTAGGGCCTTCCTGAGAAATCTGAAAAGTCTGAAGTGTCTTTTTTTTTCTCTTCTAGAGCAGTGTCCCAGCTCTTGATAGATGGAAAGCACACATCTTGTTCTGAGGCATCCCATTTTAAGATATTTTTTTTCTTTGAATTCCTTTATAATGCAAGTGGTTTATATTCTCCATGGTGAGAGCCAGAAATGGGGAACTTGACTGTAGTTCTTGTCAGAAGGGTGTTACTTCTGACACATGAGGTGTGCCACTGAGGAGAGTGCTGTTGGTCTGGTGGTAGGGAGTTCAGAGCTGCATTGTTTTGTTCCATCTCACTGGTCAGTCCCTGCTGGGATTAATGGGACCTGGCTAGAGATAACACACCAGTGTGGATGTCCATAGCAAGGTATCAAGTAGTGGGCTGAAAGCTTCATGGGAAGGGACCTTGTTGACAATAGATACTTTCTTTCCTGAAGAGCAGGCATTTGTTGGTGTCTCCTTGTCTGAGAGCTGTGCCATGGAATTGAGAGGTTGATTCTGCATTTCTCCCTTGCAGGTATAGAACGGGATGCAGTTAGTACCTTTACCAAATATATTTCTCCAGATGCTGCTAAACCAATACCTATTACAGAAGCAATGAGAAATGACATAGTTGGTAAGAACATATGTTGCTTACTCATTTTGGAGCTTCCTCCTTTCCTGTAAAAATGTATCTTTTAACACTGCACATACTCACTTCTTTTTATGAATTTTGAAGTCAGTTGTAAAAATATAGTAGATCATGTTCCAGTTATTGGTGGATCTGATCTTTCAGCAGTGCTGTGCAAATCCCCAGAAGAACTTCCAGACACTTTGCTTAAATGAGTGAAACGATTCCTGGTGGCTAAGGGGGGAAAATCCAGATTTGAATCAAATATTTTAGCTGTAATGTTACCATTCTGCTGTCTGCAGGACTTCAAAAGCTCTTTATGCACAGTCACAACCAGCTGATTCCAGTGCGTTTGAACTGCAGTTTTCATTTAATTAGTAATCACTCATCTCTTTCAGCTCAGTCAGCCCCATGCACGTTAACATTAACCTGGTCTTTCTTTGCAGCAAAGATTTGTGGTGAAGATGGACAAGTGGATCCCAACTGCTTTGTTACAGCACAGTCAATAGTGTTTAATGCAATGGAACAAGAGTAAGTTGATTGAATGTTTGGCTTCTTGTGTCTGTTGTCATTTTGCAAAAGGTGGTTCCATTTCAAATGTTTGTGGAGGAATAACTGGATGATCATGTCTTTGAAACTGCTCAGATCTGTTCCTCCAAGTCCTTCCTGGTGGTCACGTGCTGAAGTTTTATGTGCATGCTCCTGCTGCAGGCTCCAGGTTGTTCTGGTGCCTTCTGTAATCCTGCAGCGTTTCTTGCTTGGTTTGCTTCTCTCTGACTAAAAGTATAAGGCTTCTGGGGCAAGAATTGTTTGGTCCATGAGGTGCTGTGAGTAGTGGTGACCCCTGATAACTAATTGTTGTGTTATCTGTGTGCAGGCACTTTAGTGAATTTTTGCGAAGTCATCATTTCTGTAAATACCAGATTGAGGTGCTGACTAGTGGGACTGTTTATCTGGCTGACATACTTTTCTGTGAATCAGCCCTCTTCTATTTCTCTGAGGTGAGTGTTAGGTTTGGGGTCAGCTTTTTTTTCATTCCTTTCTGTTGAGGAAGGGGAAAAAAAATCCCAGCCTATTAATCCCCTGGTTGCTCTAATAAAGACAGACTCCTCAATCAGAATAAGGATGAGGTGTATATTTTTCTGGGAGAAAATGCATTAAACCATTTCCCACCCGTGTGTGGATCTATTTAAATGTTCAAACCCATACACTGCATTGTAGAATGAATATTTGTTGACACCTTCTCCAGTTAGTGAGCATTTCTAAGTGTCTCTTTGCTTTTAGAAGCTTTGACATAGTCATCTTAATCTTGCTGGATGAAGTAGTGACTTTGAAAGCCTTAACTATTCTTACAGATAACAAATAATTCATTAGCTTTACATAGAGAGGGTACCAGATTGGAATGTGGCAGGTTAAATGTATTATTTTAGAGTTGTGGGGCCCTATACCTTTAGGGATTCATCTTTTAGTAGTAAAATACTTGTCCTGACAGTCTGGCAAATCCAGTGCAGTTTGAGACAGCAAGCTGAGACAATATGTTGTGTTCACTGTAGGTGAAACAGCATGAAAATACTGTTTCTTCTGTTCTTAGTGTGATGCAAGTAAATAGTTATTTGGAAACTAAATGTGAAAAAAGTACAGGAAAAAAAGGCAATTGTTTTTTTTAAAACAAATTATATCTGTCTGCAACACTGGATCTGAAAATTTAGACTATTTAGATGCCCTGGTGACAATTTTGCATCACTAACATGTGGACTCTGTTTCTGGTTTTAAGAGGGAAGGAGCAAGTTTGACTATGCTTATTGAAAGTTTCTTGCTAAAACTTCTTTAATTTCTCCTTCTTTTAATTTCCCTTCTAGTACATGGAAAAGGAAGATGCAGTTAACGTATTGCAGTTCTGGTTGGCAGCAGATAACTTCCAGTCTCAACTTGCTGCCAAAAAAGGCCAGTATGATGGGCAAGAAGCACAGAACGATGCCATGATTTTATATGACAAGTGAGGGAGTTCAACAATTATTTGTTTCTGAAGCTCTAATTTTGTGCTTGTAGTTTTGTGTTGCACTGTGCAGAAGGAACTTTCCACCTTCAAACCATAACTGTGCAGTCTTGCACCCTTATGCTGAAATGCATTTTACCAAGGTGGCCTTTGGTGTGTATGCACACAGAACTTTTAAAATTTTTCTTGTTGCATGAGGAGAAAATCCTTATAAGGACTCCATTCTTAACACAATTCAGAATTTTCAGGATTTCTTTGCTTGGGTTCATATATGGTCATGAAATTTCAAAGCCATTTGGTTGCCATTTGAAAATGTAAAGGATTTAAACCTAATAGCAGATGCATCACTGCAGAAAGGCCTCAGGGTTCAGCTACTGTTACCCATGTAAAGTAGGATGTAGGAGCTGTTATCACATGTAGTAAAAGCCAAATAGTGCTTGTTCTTAGTATTTCAAAATATTTTCCTTTTTTTTTCCTTTTTGGAAGTGACCAGATCCCTTTTGATGCCAGACTTTCCTCTCCCTCTCAGTAGTGTAACTTTCCTTTATTTCATGCTCCATACTATACAACTGGAAGACAGGCATCAAAACTGCTTCCAGGAAGTTTGTTCTGAAGCTTAAGTGTGAGACTCATTGTCACAAGCTTGTTATTACCCTAGTAGGACATACTAATAGGAGAAGAGACAAACAATTACCTGCCTGTCATCAGCCAACCTCCTTGCTCCATCCATATACTGAGTTTTCAGTGGGACAATGAGTAGAACAAACACTGCTTCAGAGTTCTGAGTGTTCCCTCCTTCCCTCCTGCCACAAAGCTGCCCTGTGAGGTTCTGCCCATCAGCAGCCACTTGATGCTGTGTTTCTTTTATGTGTTTCTTTCATCTGTGTCTTCAGGGCAGGGCTTTATCAGAAAATGCTTCTGCCAACTGGGTTTTTTTCCTCCCCTGTAGTTAGTGAGGGTCAGTTGTAGGTAACGTTTTTGAGGCCAGCACCATCTAGTGGCTGCTGCTTTACTGATGGCCCTCGGTGGAAAGGGTGGGTCCTAAGCACCCGCAAAGCTTTGCAAATCCTTTTGTGTTGTCTTCCTCCCCTCTGCGGTGCTGCAGGTACTTCTCCCTTCAGGCCACGCATCCGCTGGGCTTCGATGACTCGGTGAGGTTAGAGATCGAGTCCAACATCTGCAGGGAAGGGGGCCCTCTCCCAAACTGCTTCACCACTCCCTTGAGGCAGGCCTGGACCACCATGGAGACGGTGAGACACCTGCAGAGGGGTTTGGGCAGTCAGTAGAGATGATGTCAAGATTCAGGAGCATGTCAAGTGCCCCCTTCAGCATCTCTCAGTTGTCTTGTTCTTTTACTGACTTCCTTGTTACCTGGATAATAGAACAGCTTTGGTAAAATTTGCTAGCCTCTTTTTCACAGTCTGATTTGAAAAGATACCACCCACTGGCTTCTGTTAATTCTCTGGGAAATATTTGTTTTGGGTGATTATTGCATTTTACTGGAAGTAACAGACTCTCCTCCCCTGTGAATCGCTATTAACAGCTTATTATATATCTTTAGAAAAAGTTCCTTTCTGCTAGTAGCAGTTGTTTGCTAGTCTGCTCTCAGTGGTGTGGTTGACAGTGTAACTGGGGTACGTGGGTACTACAGACTCATGATTTGATTCTGGAGCTGCAGATGGATTTTGAACAGCATAGCAAAATAACTGTGGGCCTGTTGGGTTGTCAGGCCTTTCTAGAGGGGAAAAAAGTCTGACTCTCAGTTGCAGTTGCTGGAGAATTTGGTTAATATGGAGTTATCTGTGTTCATTTTGCAGTAGGATTCAAATGCAAAGCAGTGCAGTTGCTGATCTGGAGTAATTCCATGTGTGGACACTTGTACTTGTGTGCCACCTACACAGGACTGTGCTGTTTGTGTGTTCCTGCTGCTCTGCAGAACATCGACAGGAACTGTGCAGACCAGCCTTGATTAAAGAGGACTCTTCTTCTGTCTCTCAGGTTTTTTTACCTGGTTTCTTGTCCAGCAACCTGTACTACAAATACTTGAATGATCTCATCCATTCAGTCCGAGGAGATGACTTTCCAGGAGGGAACGTTGCACTGAGTGTTCATGGCCTGGGCAGCTCCCCCGACAGCGATTCTGTCGGGGCCCCGGACAGCTCTGCCTCCCAGGTAGGAGCCTCATCCTCTTACAGGAAATATGACAGAGGCTTTTCTGCATCAATATCAAAGCTCATACACTGTGAGGAAGCAGCTTGTGATTTGAAGTTTCGTGTTCCACTTTAATGTTAAAGTCTGTGGTATCAGGACCAGTCTGCTGCTGCACGGTTCAAACAACCAGTATCAGCATGGAAGGGAACCTGTTGTGTTTGTTGTACCCAAAGCCTTGTGCTGCTTTTAGTTCTTTGCATCACACTTGCATTTTTCTTAAGCTGCTGATATTCACTGAAGATTGTTCATAGCACCCTAACATTAAGAATGGTTTTTATTAGAAATAGCATTTTTTTTATCAACATCGTAGTCATAACTTTAGGCAAAAATTGACACTTGTGAGTGTGCTATAGAATTTATATATAAATATATATATATGGATATAGATTCAAGTTTTATGTGCTCAGTTCTACCAAAGTGCCAGATGTTCTGTCCTGAGGAGTCACTTGGTTCTAGGATTTAAGGCACCTGTGTGCTCATGTGTGGAGCAATGACAGTTGATATCTGAGTAGGGCTAGTTTGTGTCAGTGGACTTTTCCCTCCTATTGTCATCAAGCTGGTCTGATAGAAAATGGCCAAAATTTTCTGTCAGATCTCTTTCTCAAAGACAGCTCTGACACTTCACTTTATTACCACCAAAATGCTCTGAGCTGGGGGGGATACCTGAATTTTTTTGGCCTGTATATAATTTGATGTAAAGCTGGGCATAAAAAAAGTCCATTGTTGGGACATTCTGATGATTTGTAAAGTTGTTTGTTAGAGCTGTGTGGCTGCCCCTGCACTGTACTGTGCAGGAACAGGAACATGACTGGGCTCCTTCAGCTCCATTACCCTTCCAGAGTCACTGGGGAATGTCCACTGGGTGTTAGCTCTGCACAGTGCCCTGGCTGTGGGTGAGCCTTTCTTTACTGCCTTTTGTGGTGCTGCTTTCTGAGAGCTGTGTCCTCGTGTGGGCCTAGCCTCAGAAATGGGCTGACACCATCTCAGTAATGCCAGGGATGTGGGTTTGACCTTTGTGTTTGTAGCTTTGCTTAATTCACATGTGAAAGAAGAGAGGATAAGCAGATTCTAGCTTATCTGTAACCAGGTCAGCCTGCAAACTGCAAGCCCAGCTGAGAGCAGAAAAGCAAAGCCAGGCCTGCTGCTGCTGAACGGCTTTCACTGAATGCTGCAGTGCCACCATGGGGGTGAGACCCACTACCTAGAGCAACCTCATCTGTCTGCTGGCTTTCAAGCAGCTTGGAAGCTGTACTACCTGCTTGTTGTAATTTTAAACCTCTTAATTTGCAAGGAGTGAATGTTTCCCTCCTTAGCTGCAAAATGGAGAATAAAATCTGTGTTCTTGAAATATCCTGCTGCTTGATAGCCTGAGCAGGAGAAGCTGCTGGGAATTGGCTTGCTTGGATCATTTAGGCAATGAAGTGCTGCATTTTGTGGTATGCAGTCTTGCTTATCTGAAGAGGAGAGCCTCTGGATCTCTGCATATATTTGCATAAGGAACAGCACTCAGGCAGAGCAGCAGGAGAGGGGTTTGCAGGGCAGCTCTTGTACATGTTTCTGTTCTGTGCTGAGGTGCTGATAAATCCTTCTGCAGCTGCGCTCTCCCTGCTGCTGCTGTAACATTTCCTTGGCTCTTTTCATAACCTTCTATAAATAAGCCAGGCCAAAAGGTGAATGTTTGTTCTGTGTGTTTGGGGGGAGCAGAGTGTGGACAGTGAAGCTGCTGCAGCTTTGAGGTAGTTGAGTGTTAGGTGCTCACACACAAGTGATTTGCGGGCGGCCGCAGATCTGTTCAGCTGACAGTGCTGGGGCCCCTGCTGACCTGCACAGTCTGTCTGGGGCTCTGTGCAGAGAACCTCATCATCCTCTGCTTAAAAACAGCCACACTGAGTTAGCACTTCACTGCTGGGTAGACACTAATTCTTTTATGCTTGCTTAGAGACTTTACAGAGGCTTATCTAAGTGTAAAAGCACTAAAGTTGAAGTTTTGTTAAGAAGCTATTAGTTGTCTGCATTGGGCACTAATACTTAGAATTTTTATTTGTAGTCCAATGTCAAAAAGGCTAATGTTAAAATCCTGAAAAATTTTGATGAAGCAATAATTGTAGATGCTGCAAGTCTGGATCCAGAATCTTTGTATCAACGAACATATGCAGGGTAAGGTTCATTCAGTGTCTCTCATTCTTTCTACTTCCATATATCACCTCTGTTCCCTTTTTGCTGTGTCCTCCTGCATGCAGAGTGTGCCTTTATGCAGGATGTTGCACTCTTAGTGTGTTAATATTTGAAAGTAACTTCATTTCAATAGTGTGGTTTAACACCAGTGTCATAGTGAACGTTCCTCTGACCAGAAGGGCAGCCAGAAAAAATTTCCAATTGTTTTTTCTTTCTCCTTGTTGTTAATCTTTTTTGACTCCAAAAGCCAGCTAAGTCATTGCTCTTCAGAGTGGGAACAGAAAAGAGTAAGCTCAGGCACCTTTGATACTGTAATGTGCAACTTTGCTGTCTCCCTACCCCCATGGCAGAGCTGGGCTTACACTTTATTTCTTTAGCAGCTCACACAGCTATTCTGTTTCTGAAGTTACTCTTAGTGATAAAGCTCTTCTGGTCTGTGGAACTGGTACAGAAACTGTTTCTATAGCTACCTTGCTTTTCTGTTGCATGCCAGTCTCTGTCCTTGTAGGTACTGTAAACTGCTCTCTCCTAGTGACATGTTATGACAGTGTGGAGCACTTGCTAGCACTGCCTGTTGATGTTACATGATTGAGTCATGGAAGCATTTCCCTGCTTCTAGTTTCTAGAAGGATATTTAAGATGCACTTTGAATTCAGATATGTGAGAAGAGCAGGAGGTTTTTCCCAGTGTCCCCACTTCAGGTGGTGACTGGTGAAATGCCAGTCTTCTGACACCAGAGTCTCTATTGGGGTGGCTTTTTTTGTTTTCCTGCCTGGCAGCTTTCCATAATGCTGAAGTTCTCTTGGTAACCTGTGTGGTTCTTTCACTCCTCTTCTCCTCAGGAAGATGACATTTGGACGAGTCAGTGACTTGGGACAGTTTATCAGAGAATCTGAACCAGAGCCAGATGTCAAAAAATCAAAAGGTTTGCTTTCCTCTTTTCTCTCCATTTCTGCCCACATCTGCAGAACTGCTCTCTTCCTTGGTGCACTCAAGATAAGCAAGATTCTCAACTCTTTCCAGACCTGTTTTAAGCCAAATAAAGCTGCTTAGGGGGTTGTCCTGTACTGAGGCAGCACCCAGTTTCCTATCCAAATTCTGCTTTTCTGGTCCAGCTGGACTCCTGGGAGTATGAGCAGCCTGTGGGAGTTGGAGCTGTTGATGGAACCTGGCAGGAGTGAAAGCCACCAGCAGCTGAGCCGATGATCAAACCTTCAAAGATTTGCTCTTGAGATGAAACAGAGCTTCAGCTCTTCACATGCTTCCCACCAGCTTGGGATCTGCTGTTAGTGCTGCTTTCCAGCTCGGGTGAAGAGGAATGGTTCAGGCTCCCTGTCTCATGAGCCATGGCTCCATGTGATCCCTTGTCTTTCATGCTGCTCTTCCATGTTCTCCAATGCCAGCAGTGCAGACCCTTCACCAGGGTGGGAGGCGTTAGCTTCTGTGGAGCTGTGCCCCAGGGTTTGCTGATGTACCTTATTTGCTGTTTTTTATGTTGTCCAGGGTCCATGTTTTCACAAGCAATGAAGAAATGGGTTCAAGGAAACACAGATGAGGTGTGTCTGCTTTTCCATTGTCCTTGTTGACTGACTTTGCAATGTGGATCAGGGAAATAAAGAGCTGCAGTTCTTAATCCTGGCTGTTCCTCTGGGTATCTTTCTGAGGCACCAACAGGAACTGTCAGACTCTGTGTGCTAAATATAATTTGGTTGCATGCATGTGTGAAACTAGTTTGATTTTTGCCAGTGCTTGCTGCTTTAACTTACAGAAAGGTTAATGGTGTGCGTGCAGTCAAGGGGCTGCTTTTTATGGTGTTCTACCTACAATGAGGAGGGGAGGTGCTGTTGTTCTTTGGGTTTTACTGTGAAATGACCACTGTATGTGGATTGCAGGCTGCATTTTTCAAGAGGGGCTTGGATGAGTCCCCAACAGATAAGACTAAAACCTTCACAAACTCTCTAGGGAATTGCATCAGGCCATAAATCCTGGCAGTAGCTGAAGTGACTGCGGTCCTTGGGAACCACTTCCCACAAGTGGCTGAGTTGTGAAGGTTAATGTGTCTCCAAGGCTGAGCCTTGTGCTGAGAGGACTGTATTCTGATTTTAAGCACTTGAAGCTCTCTGTCTTCTGGGCTGTTCTTTCTGTGGCAGGCTCAAGAGGAGATGGCGTGGAGGATAGCGAAGATGATCGTCAACGACGTCATGCAGCAGGCGCAGTGCGAGCAGCCCGTGGAGAGGGTCACCAAGGTGAGGGGGTGGGAGGGCTGCCTGGCCCTGCCTGGCCCTGCCTGGCCCTGCCTGGCCCTGCCCGACTCGAGCCAGGCTGTGGGAGGAGCAGAGCTCTCACTTGCCTTCCCAGTGCTGCTGAAACCCACGCTGGGAAAGGTTCAAACTGGCACAGCACGATATGAAGAAACAAAGGTTGGAAGTGTTTGAGCCTACGTGTGATGATGTAGGAATTTCTTCACAGCCACCTGTGGTGGTTCTTCTGCACAAGCATTAAACTTGTTTCAAGTCTTTACAAACTGCCAGATTAGTTAGAAGGGTGATTTGTGTGGCAGGACAGATACTGTAATTCCTCAGGGGAGTTCACATTTGCTGTTCCATGTTAATGAGCACTCGTAGATGTGCCCAAAGTGTCAGCAGAGCTGGCTGCACTCATGTACACAGAGCTGTGTCTGTGCTTGGAAAATGGCTCAGGGGCCCTGTCCATGGCTTAGAGCTTCAGTGGTGTGTCTTGGGTTGGGTGGCTTTGTTGTTCTACAAATGAACAAAAACAAACATGAATTAACAAAAAACCTCACAGAAACAAAACCAAAACAAACCCAGTTCTGCCACAGTGGTGAGGTTTTGTGAAATAATGATGACAGCGGTTTGTGAAGCAATGTCTGGTGTAATATCTGGTAGTTCTGGCTTTCAGGCTTCTGACTTCTCAAAAATTAACTTGCACTATTTTTAGTTCTTGAAGGTAAACATGTGTCAAAGCCTGGTTATTAGACCCAAACAGATGGATCCATAGTTTCACTATGGGAATGTTTTCTTCATAATAGAGCAGTTATATTTAAATGATTTGTATGATGATTTCACTTAATAGCTTGGCTGTGAATGACATAATTCCAGCGTGGCTAGATGAAAAGGGCACTCAGCACAGTATTTAGAAATATCAAGTGCCTGCAGATGCTCTGAATTTAATTAAGCAAGTGTGGTTACAGTAATTGGAAGGCTGAGTGTGTTGTGGGATTAGCTGGTTTTGTTTTTTCTCTCCCAAGCTCACAAGGATACCTGGTGTCAGTGTTTTTAAATACAAAATGTCTTTCTGTTGAGTGATCTCCTTGGCTGTTTTAGGGTAACATGAACTCTAACCCTGTTCTTCCTTTTCCAGCTATGATTTTAGAAACGCCAGAACAGGAAATCTGGTTTTCTGCTTTGAGTGAACTTTCCCTTTTGGTGGATTCTTTAACACAGCCAATAAAAACAAAGCACTGTTACTCCAATTGCTGAAATCTCCCTCATTTGTAAGGAAGAATAAAAAAGAAGCAATCCTGTACCTCCACTGTAGAGCGTGAAGAAGAAACACTTTCCTGCTGTATGTGGCAGCCACAGAAACGATGGGTTTTAAAGAGATGAAGACGCAGTTTACCAATGTCAGTGAGGAACTGTGATCGACTTCACACGTACTTGACCCTGTCTCAAACAGACTTCTAAGCAAAATATCTGGAACAGGACACAAGCCACAACAGAGGAGAAGGTTTTGCTGTAGTTCCTAGTTGTACTGCTTGTGATTTTTAAACACATAATTGGAAAGGCCGTGGGGCGCATCCCCGGCACTGGCCGTCGGAGAAGTGAACCTGGAATGCTGAATTCATTGGCAGTGAACGACCTAAAAAGTTCAAAGTTTTGTTATTCCTTACTTGAAATAGATGAGTATTCGACTGTAAGATAAATGTATTTTGCTTCATAACTCCATTAACTTGGAAGGCAGCGTGGAGTGATCAGGAGCGGAGCCTGGACGGTGTAACTCTTCTTGTCGAGCTCTCACCCCTGCACTCACAGCTCCCCTGCCTCCAGCACAGAGCAGACTCCACAGCAGCCCCCTGCTCCCGAGCCCAGTGCTGAGGAGATCATCCCCTGCAGCCTGCACTGCTCCATTTTCTTTCCTCTCCATCCCACGAGCGAGGAAAAAAATAATTGCTGCCGTTCTCCATAGCTCCTTGTCCTCCAACCAACATAGTATCTAATTCCAGAAGTTTGGTTTACAAAGAAAAACAATTTTTAATGACCTCTGGCCTTCTCCCTGACTTTGTCAACACTTGCAAGTTGCAAAACCATTAGTTTAAAAAGCCACTGTTACACAGCACCTCTGTTTTTCTTTTATTTTCCAGTGAATTAATTCTGCAGGGTATCAAAAGTACTCAGTGTCTCACTGTTATGTTATTGCTGCATTTTTAGTATGCAACACTTCTATTTTGGGTTTCTTATTTTATGATTGCTTTTTTCCTCAAACTTGTGCAAAAAAAATCACTTGGCAAAGCACCCGAATCATCTCCAATTTTCAGAATATCTTGATTGACTAGCAAGTGTTATTCTGTTGCAATATTTGATTGTATAGAAACACTGTATTGTCTATAAAAAGCAAAAAAGGCTGTGTATAGGTTTTTGGTACTATGTACCACCTCTTATTTCTCTCATGCCCAAGTATTCATGTACTTAAAACATAGTATATTTAATTGTGTTTTGATTTAAAATATATAAATATTCAAATTTGTGTCAATTTTCTGCTTTAATGGGATTTACCTTTAGATGGGGCTTTTTTTACATGCGAGTCTTATGCTTTATAAATGAAACAAACCCCTGAACAGTTTGTCCTTGGTACATTTGCACACATTTCTTAGTGGATGCTGTTAGTAGCAGTGTGGTGAAATAGGAGTAATTTCTATCTAAATACTAAATAAGGTGTTTTAATCATAGGCTGTGTCAGAAGCTGGGTGAGGGAAGGGGGAGAAGGGGCAGGGCTCAGTCCTGTAGCACAGTATTGAACTGATATGTGTATTTGCTTCCCTTTCTGCACCTTGGTAACATCCAAGCTATCAAGCCAGGTGGCTTTAGGGATTGCAGGCACCAAGTTTGGGTACAGATATTGCTCAGGGCTGTGTTGCCTTCAGCTGCTGGGGGTGGATGTGGCCAGACCGAGTGCAAGAGGTTTGGTTGCGGGGCTGCACCCGCGGGCCGGTTGTTCCTCTTCTCTCTGTGAGCGCTCTTTGGGTTTGCTGGAGCGTTGCCTCTGGGGTGGGGGAGCTCTGGTGCTTGCCGTGGTGGTCGCTGGTTTGTGCTGATGCAGAGTTCCTGGCTGTGTAGCAGGTCCCGGGGCGGGCCGGAGTCTCCCCGGGCAGCAGCTCCCCCCTCCCGCACAGCCCAGCGCGGGTGCTTGAGCCAGGCTGGGTCACGGCCCGGCACTCCGCGCCTTTACCCCGGAGGCAACGTGCAGCCTGCGGCCTGGGGTTAAATTCTGGTTGGGATATCTTTTCCTGATTTTACTGCCGTTTATTGTAGGAATGCAGTTT